TTTTTGTGCAGGAATCCGAAATAGTTCGAGTCGCACTTCCTCAAGAGTTAAACTCAAATCAAGTCTTAAACTTATTTAGATGACTACATCAGAGAGCCGATATTTATTTTTACATGCCGCTTTTTACGAATATGCATTGTAAGACGAAACTCAGTAACAGTATGGTTGGAAATTCTCTGACCAATGTCTCTATTCAATCTGGCAGCTGCTTGGTTTTTCGAAACTGTTAATTTTTCAACGACATTTGGACTATCTGTATCATAAAAGGCTATAAATGAATACCACTTTAACGTTGGATGCATAGTCTAAAAAATATAACAGCACCTTTTTCAGTGCCTAGACAATACCTAATGTACGAAATAGCAATTTAAATAAACTTAGTAAACATGCTAGTTTAAAAAATACTTTCATCAATAATGGGTTACAGAAATCGTCTCAGTAAAGTCTCTCTGTCGGATTAGAGATTTTTTATTATCATGCCTATTACGGCATCCGACGGATGCCATCCGAATGGAATAGGCATGTATCCGAGGGATACCAATCTGATCTAATCTATCCAATCCTTCTCAGTCGCTTGTTATGCCAGTGCGAATCGGATTAGATCCGTGCGGATGGCATCCGTCGGATGCCGTAATAGGCATATATCTTGTTACGTTTTCCATTCGACGATGAACAGAAAAAACGGACGGCGGCTTATTTATCCAGGTTATACTCCAAAAATATAATCAAAACAGACATATTTTATATTAATTTTAAGGAAATGATAATGGAAAGCTCTTACTAAACAAACCTACATTTATACCCAAAAATGCCACTAACATTTTTTTTTTTATTTATGCGCGTATATTTTTCTCTTTAAAGACTTTAGATTTGTCATACATGGAACTGGACGAATTACCCGATACTCTACTTCACGGACCGCGCGATTTGGAGACCCTTATACTAAGTGGCAATCTCTTAGACGAACTACCAGATCATTTAAATTTAGCGCCAAATCTACGCGAGTTGGTACTCGATGAGAATCCCATAGAGGATTTAGTGGACGAAAAGTATGTTTAACTTTGATTTTATTTTTCTTTTATAAGTTTGATTTTATTAACATACTTTCATGAATTTTGCACACTATATCTTTTTCAGTATTTTCCCAACTCTACGCTACTTAACCTATCTGAGTATGGCTTACATGCCCGAACTGAAAGTAATCGGTCCCGGCGCATTTTCGGAGCTGCAAAGTAAGTTGAGATTTTGAATGATTTATTGATGATGGTCATTACTCTTTTTATTTGTTTTATGTATAGACTTAACTACTTTAATCCTATCGAGTAATACAAAGTTGTCCACAATTGATGTCAAGGCTTTCGCAAAGAATACTTCGAATCCAGAAATATTGTCTTATCCACCATTGGAAAAGGTAAGTTCAGATAATGCGGCATTTTGATACCATCTTCTATTAGATCGGTTTAATCTTGAAATCGCCCTAACATGTTTATAAAACTACTAGCATTAGTCGTGAATCACTTTGTGACCAATTGTGTCCATTCCATGTGTTTTCGAACGGTGGATCGTAAGAGGCCAGTAAAGCTAACCGGAAGGAAAGAGACATACTGCTAAGCTGCAAACCATATTAGATAAATAGATATGGTATTCAGCGAATTTTTCCCTCTTCTATGCTGTCTTTTCTCAGTTTTTCATAAAATAAAACTGGACTCTAAAGTTTCCTCCAAAATCTTTATCCAATTTTAAGAGCCATCAAACGTGTCTTTGTGCCTTAGATATTGTCTCTGAGCCTAATTCTAGTATTGGCTATAATTTTCGCAAATTTCACTGAGTTATTTTGGTAGTTTATTCAAGCTTCAAAATTAGTTATATAAACTCCGAACAACTTAAATTGCCTAATGCGAGTCGTTTACACCCATAGTCGCAAATTTTGCGACAAACCTCCTTAACATACTTATGTTAGATCTTCACCTTACATGTCTTTTGACGTCCATCTTCTATGTCTAAAATTACTGCAAGAATCGTCTGAACTTCATGGTGTTTGTGTCATTGGTATACAGAGGCATCATTATCGAGTTCGAGCTAAGCTCAAATTTTCCGCAAGGATTTCATTGATCTCAAACTCCCAAAAGTACCGCAACTATAAAAGTAACTTGAGTTGGCTTGACTTTTCCTTTGTTAAGTTGAGGAAGCAGATATAGTCTAAGAAGCGTGACGTGATAGGAGGCATTATGAGTGGTTCTGTTAATGTTTTGAGAAATGAAAGCGATGTACAAACCTTTGTAAACTCGGCTCCCTGAACCTGTACTTTATAGCGAATATCAAAGCCACTATCGAGGTCGAAGGCTGACCGGAAGGCGAGAGGATGGCTGACACAATGCATGTATATATATACAGATGGATCCTAAATGGACACGGTATACCAGATTTGAACTCTTATAAGCTGTGGTTTTAGCCGTAAAAAAGCGGGGAGTTATTGAGTTGTAACCGGATAAAGGAAAGATTGGATCCTTATATTGGAAGTCCGGTTGCTATAAAGGCACTGTTATCGCACAGAACTTTCATGCACAGTGCAGTACATGCAGTACATGCTCTGTAACTATCCAGCCCTTAGCATGCTGCTTCTCTGCCTCTTGTGAGTAGGTGTTCTAACTAATCTGGAGGCAGCCGCCGAAAGAGGGTACAAAAATTTGTTTCGGTTTTCGAGGGAATGCAGTGGCTAACGTTCCTAATATAACCAAAGCCATGATCGAATCTTCTCAAACCATATCTGCAAATGAAACGAGATGTTGAAGGGCATTAACTCAAGTTATCGGGAGCATGAAAAATACTATCGGTTCCGCCTGCAAAGTCCAGAAGCACAAAGTGTTTCTTGAAAAATTGTAGCCGGTCAGTAGTAAAAATTTAAGCAATCGCGGGATGATCAGATATAAAATATATGTCTACTTCTGAAGACGTGGGAAAAGTTAAGAACACTTTCTTTGTTGTATTCATGACTTTCCTTTTTTCAGATGTAGCCAAGCCTAAACTATACTTTCAACAGATGTTTAAGATGCATGACGTAGTCGAAATATAACCTTCTTCGTCTTTGTTTTTTTTTATCTAGGAAACCAAACTCTCTTTCAGGGGAATATGTTTCCTTCAGAAATAGATCTTTTTAGATCACCCTCTCCAACGTTTCCTCTTAAAATATAATCTTGAAATGTAACAAAGATTTTCTTCTCTTTTTCTTAGCTTTATTTGCACAACAATAACTTATCTACTTTGGATCGCGGAATGCTCGAACGTTGGGATAAGATAACTGAACTTGATTTACGTTACAACTACTGGACATGTGATTGCAGCAATCGTTGGCTCATTGAGGTACTATCGATCCAAATAAATAATACGACTCCTAGATGGACTCAGGATATCAACTGTTATCAACCAAATGCTTTGAGAAGTCTACCGCTATTGCAACTAAGTTCAGCAGAAGGACGTTTAAAATGCAGCACCGAAGGAGGTAGCTCGAGTAGTCTCTTTCTAATAGGTTTACTTGTTGGGATTCTGCTGTGCGTACCTATAGTACTGGGATCAATCGCACTTTGGCGTCGTGGCTGCTTTGGCCTAAACCGCGACAGAGTAATCGCTAATAGATCACTCTATAATCGCGCTAACTTCAGCGATGAATTACATATCTAATTTACTATATTCCTTGTATGTATATATATAGCATATATATTTATTTGTAATAAAAAATTTGTCATATCACTACTCTTTTCAGTAATAAATTTCTTATAGATAAAATAGTATATTTGTGTGTATTAAAACTTTTTTCTTTGCCCGGTTCAAACCGGGAATCTTTCGTTTCTGACTGCTTGCATTTTCTTTTCTTTCTTCTTTAAAAAAGTTGCATGTCCTCCGAATTTTTCACAAGTTCTTCAGCCACCATGTGGTCTTTTCAACAGCAGTCCGCCCATCTTAATCAGCGAGTTCTATCTACAAAATTTTTCTGTACAACTCTATAGCGTTAAGAGGGTTTTTACTTTGTGAAATTCTATACCAAAGAGTCAACCAAAAAACAGAGTTTAGAGTTGAGTAATTCAAAAAAGCTGTATTTCAAATTATTTTTAACAGGGTTGCCAACCAGCTAAAAATTTAAAACTTTATAAGTTTCAATAGCTCAAAAAAATTTTTATATTTGACTTGTGTTGCCAAATATGTATGTAGTAAAAAAGTGATTCCATTACACAGATTTGTGAAACATATTTATAGTAGAATATATTTTTTTTGGGTTGCCACCTGTTGAATCGGCTTACCAGCTATCCAAATATCTACAATTGCATAAGTTAAGTAAGGCTGAATAAACTACAAATGGGTATCCAACGAAAGAGGTTTTGAAAAGCAATATTTCGAATTTCATTCTTGCGCGGTTGCCAGCTATGTATTTCGAAAATTAAAGTTATTGTACGTTTTGTAAAAAAAAAAATAAATTTTATAAAATTTTATAAATTATATGACCTACAATAAGTCTATGAAAAAAAATGTAATTAAATCATGTCAAATGAATTTGTGTCATAAAACTTTGCTCCGCACATTCTTTTTTCTTTAATACAATTGCCAGCTGTATAGTAAATCAAATAAAACACCTCTTTGGGGTAAAATTTTCGAATGACGAAAGCTGAACTAGAAACACAAAATTTATGATATCCATTTCGTGTCGAAAATTATACGCAGTTTTTAATTGCCTTGGAAACGTACGGAAAATCTTTTTTATTTATACGAATCGTTGCAAAAGTTTTGTTTTTTATTTTGTGTTTCCAGCAGTAGACGAATTTCGCAATAAATAAAAAGATTTAAGCATTATTATGAGGGTTACCAACTAGTAAATATTTATTTAAAATTTCATAGTTTGCTTGTTTCATTTTGATATTTCTTTTGTAGTTGTTTCAAAATATAAGTAACGCTTCTGCCTGTATTTTAGTACTAACCTCTTTTTGTCTATTAAATAAAACTCCAATTTATTAATTTTTTATATTTATTTATGTATTTCTTTATCTATGTAAGTAACTAATTCGAGGTTATTCGGCTTATACGGAATGTGTTAAGCGAAATGGTTTGAAAAATATTATTTATCTATGTATGTATGTGTGTATGTATATAATAAAACTCGTTTGACAACACTACTCGTACATACATATAACAAATTTTTTGAAAGTATGCACTTGTATTTAAAAAATAGTTTAAAAACTTTTAAATTTACCTTTTTTTTTGCTCGATTCAGCGTAGTAAGAAAACTAAAAACTACCAATTTACATAACGTACATACACAATGTAGGCAAGCAAGCAATTTACAGTTAGAAAAAGTCACTTCCAAAAAAATGTCGGCTGAAATGTGCAAAACATATATTAGTAGGTACTAAGTACAAGTTTTCAAATAATTTTATATACTTGCATGCTTACATGAATTGAAGTGGTACGTGTATATGACGACTATATTAAGCTACAAGCTAAATTTCACTAAGTGAAAGGCTTAAAAAATGAAAAGTGTATCTTTTTTTATATTTTAATTTTTTTTTATGAGAAATCGAAAAATCATTAGACTTGCGAATTACCAACGCAAATTACTTTCAAATTCTTTTTACAGTTTGCTTTAGTTCTGACAATTATGTATATATGTATATATTTTCTTCAATTTTATTTAACTACATTCGTACAACTTTCAATAAATATGTATAGGTTCGTTTTCTATGTATGAATTTATGGCTGTGGCTGCGTATATAATTTACCTGCATACATTTCTACACAACAATGACATAAAGATCCTATGACTTTCTGTGAGTTCATATCCATATATGAATATATGTATGAATATATGTATGTCTGTATGTATTTATGTGTTTTTTGGCGCATATGATTTTGAACATTCATGTAAGTATGTTTTTATGCATTTATGCAGCTGTGTCTACATAATCTACTAACCACTCTAGCTAACTATGCACCACTATATGTTTGCTTGTATGTGTGTATACTTTTTGTTGTTAGTATAACATAATTTATTTATTTTTTTATCGCTCGCTCACGTTTATGCGCTTAACATACATTTTTTTTTTGTATATAATTATTTTTATTTTTTGTTTGCTTCCTATTCTTTTTGTGTTTGTATGTTTGCATATATGTATTTATATATATTCTATATAAGTATATCCGTTTAAATATACATACATATGTTTATCTACATGTATATACTTGTTTCTGTGGTTTGCCGCATCTACAAAACATCGTCTTATCTAACTTCATCCACATCCTCACCCTCCGACGAGCTACGTATGGTATTATATTGTGAATTGCGGCTGCGTAGCATTCGCAAGAAGCTGCCCACAGCGAAAATGGTTCTTCGATGTCGATGAAATATACCCTGGTATAAGGCCTCACGTAACGTTTTGCGATCCTCCACATCGACCGAGGAGGTAAGCGATGTTTGATGCGGTAAACGCGCTGAAAGGATATTAAAGAATTATAGTTAGGCATTAGTATCTCAAGAGGCAGCACAGTACTTAGATGCTAGGAAATATTTTGCTAAACGTTTCTGTGAACTGACAAGTTGCAAGGTCGGGAGAGAAAGAGACTTTTTTTAAGTCTAGCTAAGTAGCAATCCTCGGCTCACACAAAAGCTTTGATCGGGTACTGGCCAATAATAGAGTCCGACCGATTCCAATTTTTTTTCAGGTACCGATGCCGATGCCGATTCTTCCTTGATTATGCTAGGTCTGATCGCAGAGAAAAACCCTATGGGCGACGAGCTGCCGCCGTCCTAGCTAGACGGTCCGCTTTACTCCCAAGCTCTATCTTGAATTTTCACTCAAAGCCTACTGATTTGGGTTTATGCTCTGAGATAAAACACCAATGGAATCTGGGAGCCTAGCTCTCTCTGCCTCTGTCAAAACCTTCTCTTACACATTCACCTTACTTAATGTCTAAGAGTAAATCATGGCTACTTAGCCAAGTTTATGCAACTTGAGTAATCATATGTATCTTGCCAAGTAATCACCAGGTCACGTCCATCCAATGCTCAAGTAACAAGCTTTAGTTTTTTCAACACAAGGCCACATTTTGAACTCAATACCGCAACGGATAGTGTTCCAACCAAATAGTATCAAACGGAGGCCCTCATCGTAATCTGACCAACATAATAAGAACAATGTCAACCTAGCCCGCAAAGCATAGGTACATACGTAAAAACTGCTCTGAGTTCGTTAAAGTTATATAATTCACAATTTTCGGGAAAGCCTTAGTATATGTGCGTATACTTATTACTCACCTATTGGCGATTTGGGCGATTTAATGGAGAACTCATCCAAATCCTTCCCCGTCAAATCCAGCTTGAGTACCTTTTTCGTAAGCTCCTTAGTGGCTGCATCCAAATTCGATTTTTTGGAAATTTTTATATCGACATTACGCTGACTAACCGCGCTCTTCGCGACTGCACCGCCATCCTTGTTTTGCTGTTGCTTCTCCGCATTTTTTGTATCGGCGGGTGATTCCAGCTGTGACATTTTATCTGTTTTGCTTAACTGCTTTTGTATGGGTGATTTTGGATTCGATTTCAATACCTCTTCAACCAATTGCTTCTTCTCCTCGAGACTTTTATGTGATTGCTGCTGCTGCTCTTGCTGTTGTTGTTGCTGCTGCTGTTGTTGAATGCTCGAAGTGGTCGTCGTAGTGGTATTCGAAGCAGCCGATGCTGATGAGGCGGACGATGTTGGCGATAGTACGGCTATGTTGATTGTTGTTGCTGATGTCGCTGTGGCTGTTGCTGTTGCTGCTGTCGATGACTTTTGACGATGTTCGATTGCAACCATTGTTCACAGAGCAGCGACGTTGATGCGCAAAAAAAAACGGAAAGTTAATAGAAATAAAATATCAACAGCTATGCTATCTGTCGGTGGTATGGGGCGGGGGCGAGTTATTCAGTCGTCGAACAACACACTTGATCTCACACTTAAGATGTCAAAGGACGACAGCGAATTGTTAAGCGACTGCGGCTAACGACGAAGGCACTTTTGAGTTCGATAAATCTTCTTATGCTTCGTCGTGGGATTGTTGAGATTTTTTGTCGAGTGGCGAATTGTTTATAGTTTGCTATTATGCTGCAAAGTGCTTTTGATGCGTGAAGTGGCAAGACAGTTGAGTTTGTAAAAATATTATCGGCAAAGCTGAGGGTGAAAAAGAAAAGGAATAATTAACGTAAATTTGGGAAAAGGTATTTAGTTATTCAAAAAATTAAAAGCTTTAAAAAATTATTAAACTGACGTGAGTATGCATACAATTGATTTAAATTAGTTTTTAGCTCTGCTATCTACGACTAACGCAGTTTAGCAAGGAGCTCTGTTAAAAGCACCAGCTTTGATTGGGCAAGGAAAAAGCGCTATTGGACGGTTATGTACATTTTTTTGCTTGGAAAGGTGAAAACTTCGGAAGGAGCCAGATAGTTGTTCACCGTCTAAAACTTGGAAAGGCTTTGACGAATTTTTATGGGAAAAATTTATATTATGGGGCCAAATTAGATGTTAGCAGTTCTTATAAAAAATACTTGATATCCTGATTAAAAAAATCCTACCGCTTATGAACCCACCCCCGCCCACAGTGGTCTGAGAGTGGAAGAAACTTCAAGTTTGGAAATGTCTCGAAATAGCCAGCTACGTACTTGATATCATTCTAGGCATGTCTATTAACGCGATTAAAGGCTTTTTTCATAGAAAATGGCCCAAGAAGTATTCAAAGGGCAGCAGATGTCAACGGCCATTTCACGGACCAAGCAAAAACAATAATTGAATAATGGGTTTTGGTTGGATTTGTTACAAGCTTTAATACAAAGTTCGCTAGTAAATAAGGTTTGCTCCATAAAGGGGTTTTTTATTTACTATTTGATTTCCGGGACTATCAACGCAACTTTCATCAAAAATTTGGAAGATTTATTTAATGTCTTATAACCAGAGAACGGATTTTTAGGACCTAAAAACCTATAAAAAAGGCAAAATAAAATAACGAAATAGGCTGAAAAAGGCAAAATAAAATAGCGAAAAAGGCAGGAAAAGGCAAAAAAAAGGTATTGCAAAAAAAGCAAAATAAGGCACTAAAAAAAGACAGAAAATACGAAGAACAATCAAAAAATACATTTATTTTAGAAATGTTTATATTACAAGTAAAAAGAGAAAAACTATGAACTAGTTTCATTATATGAAAAATTTGTACTTTGAATCTTTGACTATTTTATCCTTTCGAGTTTCTAACTCATAAAGCTTTAATCTGTATAGTTGTAGTAACATTGAACCACAAGATGCATTTTGAAGTTTTCTGGAAGCATTTTCATTCAATTTTCGTGAAGAAAAGCCTTGAATGTACTAAATGTGCGCTCGACGTAAGTTGATACAAGTGGAGCCCAATTTAAATATGGAACGTTTGAAACGTTCATATTATCAGGAATAAGGGCGTTTTCCTCGCCCTTTACAATTTTATCCACATCCCTTATTGTTTCCAAGCCTACGTTAGCTGAGAAAACGGCTTTGAATTTTTCCAACACCAATTTGCCAAGAGGTCCCTGCGCTTCTATAAGCCGCATGGGCATGTGCATATTTTTTAATCTTTAAAAAAAAAAATGTAAATGCTATAATCACTTTTATAAATGTAGAAAAGGCCAAAAAGGCAAATATCTTAAGAAAGGCAAAAAAAGTCCGGGGTACTATATTGTCGTATAATAAACTTATCCATGTTCCTTTGATCCCAGGACCTCCTGGACCAGAATTCTAGATTATGTTTCTTTTTCGAAGTTTTAGGAAAAATGTACAAAAATATCTGAAAAATCCGAACACCAAGTTTTTTTAATTTGGGTAAGCGGTTTGTTTATTATTAGGCAAGGACTTTTATTTCGATTTTAAAAAAATTTTGGCCAAGCTTAATTATTATTACTGAACTAAAAAAATAAAAGTCCGGGTTGACCGAGTATTTTATTTCAAATAAAAAAGATACTATCGATGGTTGTGACTATTGACTGTCGATGGCCACGACAATCGATAATTTTCCAGCTCTAGACTGAACGTGTTGGATGGATTGGTTATGGTTAAAATTCTGTATTAAAAATTGTATTGTATTAAAACTTTGCACAGCAATATTCTGTGTTTTCATATTCTGTATCGTAAAATTTTGTATTTTAATATTCTGTATTGCAAAATTCTGTATGGGGAAATCGGAAAACCATATAGACATAGAGAAAACCAGTGCGTACTTGTTTTTTTTTACCCATATGGTTTTCCGATTTTTCAATACAGGGTTTTTTTATTCAAAATTTTTGAAATACAGTTCTTTTTTATCCGAGGATGAAGATTTTCTAATGAAAGTGGCAGAAGACGAGCATTTTGTAGACAAAGACGCCGAATACTATTCCACTGGGTTAAAAGTCCTTTATAATAAATGTAAGAAGTGCATTGGAGTAGAGAGAGATTGTAATATAGAAAAATAAAATTTGTATACATTTCTATTAGCTATCAGAATTTTCGGCTGAAAGATTTTTGAAAAGCAGAATTTACTACCGCTCCCGACTGAGCAACAGAAATTATCGACTTCGAACTGGCAATTAGGCCTTCTGAAAAGATTGTTATAAAGAAATATTTATACTTTATTGTTGGCAGATAAAGGTGCTTAGTCAAGGGAGATCAATTAACCTTTGACCTCTGGAAGAAAAGTAACTTGGCTGCCCCTTTTACGAATTGCAGATATTTTAGCGCTGTGCGGATGGTTGACTCCGAAATCTACAGGCAATTCGTGTCTGTCTGCGGATAAGCAGCTTACGTGCTTTGCATTTTGCTCTGCCTGAGCTACTGAATATTTGTGACTCAACAGTAAGATTATATGCAGGTTGAGATAGGCGGCAGTCTCTGATGGGACTTTACTCAAACTAAGGACCCTTTCTGCTCCCCACTCCCTTAATTGTTTTGAGCAGTGTATTATCTGCGTACATTGATAGGTAAAGCCAAGTCAACATTTATGTTCTTTACTATCGAAACCAGATACATTTTCGTGAACTTACAAGTTGTGAACCCCATTTTTTTGCACCGACGTAGACTCCCGTCGATTCTCCCTGGTACTCCAACCAGGACCACTTTGCGAATTACTGCACTATGCTAATGGTTCGTTCTTTATTAAAACTATAATTTCCGGCAGGAAAACAGTGCAATAATCAGACTGAGCTCGGAAGCTGAACTACATGTACATATGCCTAAATCTTCCAAGTAGACACCACTTTCACTCTCCTTATCAAGCTTATACACATCCGTGCATATATAGTCGACCGTAAGACATAAACTACAAACTTTGGAAGAACATTGAGCCAAACGCCTACTCTCAACATCACTCAACTGTACTTCGCTCTCTCACCTTTTACGGTGGCCTCGCCTCGCTGCTATAATAGACTTCCTCGGGTAGCTCGAGACTCGAATGCAATGCACTAGCACCAAATTTCGTTTCTCTCAACGTGAAACCGTTGCGACGCGCTGAACTAAGCACCGGTTGTTGGTCTTCTTGTTGCTGTTGTTCCTTCTGCTTATTCACCTGCGAATGAAGCGCGTTGTAGGCACTAAAATTATTGCTATTGTTGTAAATTGTATTAAATTCAAATGCAAATGCGTTATCGTTGGTCTGTGTTGTTGTTGTTGCTGTTGCTGTTGCTGTTGCTCTTGTAACTGTACTCGCTACTACTGCTGCTGTCTCATCGACACCGTTGTTATCAATGGCCGAACAATCTGTTAATGTAATTTTCGGCAATGACTCATCAATGTCACTTATTTCTAATTGCATTAGATGATCAATTAGTTCATGGAAATTAGCGCGCGTTGCTACAGTATTTGTTGTACTACTAATTGTTGTTGGCGAATTGGCATTCAGGTAATCGTTCATGCTACAACCACCATCTAACGTGGTCGCCGTGCACTTTACAGCTGTCGACTGTTTAGCTGCGTTGGTGGTTTCGTAACGCGGCGCTTGAGTTGCGCTCGGTTTGATCTTAACGCGTATCGCGCATGAATTGTTACGCCGACGGTCGTTGTTTTCACCGTTTTCGGCAGCGGATTGCGCTTTCTTCGCGCTGATGCCGATGTTAAAGCTACGCTTGCGCCCGATGTGTCGCAGCAGATAGGTCAGCCGGAAAAAATGCTCAGCGCTACGCAAACGTGGCGTATTCCCCGGTGTATTGGTGGCGCTAGTCGCTGCCGATGCGTTTTCGTCGTTGCTACTGTTGCTTGTCTGCTGTGAAGATGCACCCTTCGTTGCACGCTTCAGATGTTCGCGTCGCGCTGCGTTTCGCTTGCCGATAGCTTGGAGGTAGTTGATGTGCCGCAGGAACCCCTGCTCGTAGTAATCGCAAGCCAATTGTAAAAATTGCTCTGGACAATTTAGGAAGGCGACATCCTCTTTACTTAACGGGTGCTCCCTTTTGTTGTGGCTGTCGATTTGTGGTCTCACTCCGCGGTTAGATGAACTTACGACTGAAGTTGCTCTGCTACAAAAAACTTCTCGCGGCTTTCGCTGAGTATCTTCGTTCCAAAAGCTGTTTGGTGTGTTCGATATCGCTTGTTTCGTCCTCAACGATTGTTTACAATGTGTCCGCCGTACTGCCTTTTCTTTAACTTTCCCTACGCTGTCATTTGCATTACTATCGGTTTCTTCATCATCGTCATTATAATCGTACCATTTTCCATTAGCATAGGCAATGTCTACATTGACGTCAGCGCTGTTATTTGTTCGCAACTTTGATGAGTTCTCGCACTTTCTTTCACCAACCGTGGCCCACTTATCCGCTTTGCAGCTAGCAAACCCTTCACCTTTTGCGCTTTT